CGGCAGCAGTAGTGTTAAGGAGGTTAATGTTGAAGCCACTAGTTCCTCTAAAAAATTCTTTCATTTATCTATAGAAGTATTTACTCCTGTTATTCCCATTAATTTTGCTACCTATAAATAAGGGAGACGAAAATCATGTTTAAAAAGATAAATAAATAAATCTTAAATCATCAAATATTCAAAGTTATCTTTACCTGCCCAAGAGCAATGGTTATAACAGATCCTGTGGTAAACCCCGTGATAACGGGTGTAGGTATAAGATGCACAACAAATCCAAACCGGAATAAACCAAGTATAAGGATGATTATTCCAGAAAGTAAACCAAAACCCGTTGCCAATTCAACTGCAAAGTCAACACCAGTTCTCCCACTAGATTCCATTATTTTTGCTGTCGCTTGTCCAATCAACAATGACATTACTGCGGTTGGACCAATTGTTACATCTCTTGATGTAGCAAACAGACAATATATTGTTACCCCAACGAACGCTGAATACAAGCCATATTCAGGTGGCAAGTTTGCAAGTTTGGTAGCTACGGCCATTGTTTGCGGTATAGCTATCGCTCCAACAGTAGTGCCTGCTACTATATCACCAAGAAGCCAGGTTAAATTATATCTGCCTATCCATGTAACAATAGGAAATAACGATCTAATATACGAAGCACTAAATTTTGGCACTTCATGGACAACTTCATCAGTTTTCTCTTTCAAAGTTGGACGCTTTAAATCTTCATAAGGATATTTAGGATTAGAAACCACTTTATCGTCCATGATTTTTTTTTAAATGTACAAGTGATTAAAATATATTCGTAAGTTTTTTTTGGATATGTCGAATCTTATGTGTATATTTACATTTTTTTTATCTTATTTAACATTCATTAATTAATTCAATTTTTGACTATATATATAGTATTATACATGGTCAGTGTATTATGTATATGGTGTGCGGCTGGTATAAGCAGTATGGTATGCAGCTAGTATATAATTACCACCAAAAAAAAATTTTTTTGCGACACATTACTAAATTCAATTATTTTTGCTTTATTTTTTGCGAGACATTACTAAATTTAATTACTTTTTTTTTCACAACACAACATATTGCTAAATTCAATTACTTTATTTACTTAATTCATGATACTAAAATTTTTTTCAATCTCATGCATAATACTTTTTAAAAATTTTTTGCAACAAATTAACAAATTCAATTTGAAAAAAAATTTTTTGCGGCAAATTACTAATTTAAAATGTAATACAATTAATATAATGGTACCAAGTAAAACCTCATCATATGATTATAATATCACAGTATGTATGGGCAGTATGGTATATATTAAGATATAAAACGAAGGCAAATCTAACAAAAAAAAAACAATTTAAAATTTTAACATCATTAATAATAACTAATTAATAACAAATCACAACCATGGTTAAGTTAACGCGATCTGATGATTTTAATAAATATATTGATGACTTATTTTCACCTGACTCAAGAATTGAAGAGGTGGTAATGGTCCCATATGAAGAAACTGATAATTTGGCTACTAGGCGTGAAAAATTATTAAATAAAATAACTACATTGGGAAGAAAGCAAGGAAGAATTGAAAAATTAATATATTATTACTATATTGGAGAGGAGTTACTAAAATATAATAACTATAGAGAGAAATGGAGGGTTGTTGTAAAAGAAAAAATGTTTATGAGCGAAAAAAGGCATTTTACAAATGCTATAAGAGTATACAAGCTTTTTAAATTAGTAAACAAAGAAAAGATTTATAACACTGTTTATTTGAATTCCAATTTAATTGGAGAATTGTCCACAACTGATTATAAAAAGTTATATGATATGATAGAAAATTGTATAATTTACAATTACTTCCATATGAACTTGCAAGACACACAATTTTTTTCTTAATTACATATTCATTTAATTTAGTGATGTTAGCCGGCTAATAATCTGCATACATGATTTCTAAATTTGGTAATAGATTTCCGTATTACCTTCTGGTTATAGAAATAGAATTACCAATTTAGGTAGTAAACGGCTTAGCCGGCTAAGGATTTTTAAACGGCTAACATCACTAATTTAATTTATTTAATCTACATTCCTTGAATTTTTTCTCATATTATATTCACTTATACACTTCAATTATGTATTCATTTAAATTTACATCCTTATGGACTTATAAGTCTCAATTATGTATTTATTAATCTATGTACACACACTTTTAAGAAAATGTATTATTATTATGAAAATAAATGTTGTTTTTATACATTTGAAATTTGCTGTTTGTATATCTACCTTCTGTATAATCTTGAAGATCATTATACTTACATTTTTTCCTCCAAGATATACAGTAGCCTTTTGTATATCTTGAAGATCATTATGCTTTTTCCTTTATTTTTTTCTCCAGGATATACAGTAGCCTTCTGTATATCTTGAAGATCATTAAGCTTTTCCTTTATTTTTTTCTCCAAGATATACAGTAGCCTTCTGTATATCTTGAAGATCATTATGCTTTTTTTATTTTTATTTTTTCAAGATATACAGTAGCCTTCTGTATATCTTGAAGATCATTACACTTTTTCCTTTATTCTAAACTCATTTTCCTTCCTATATTACTATTATCTATTTTTAAAATTTAATAAAATTTTTTAACTCAAATTATAAAATATATAATTTGTATTGTCTTCTAAATCAAATCATTTGATACTGGTTGTATACCTAGCCATTTTGAATTAATATCTGCACAGAATTTAACAGTTCTTTGTGACTACAAATTCTCTGAATTATTTAATTCAACCTTGATATAAATAAATATATTTTAATTAATTAATATATTTTAATTAATAAATATATTTTAATTGATAAATAACATATAAATAATAATTTTGATTAAAATAATTACATCATAATTTTTTCCTACAGAGCTTCAACAACTTCTAGACATTTTTTGAAAAATCAAAGTTTCATGAATTTCAAAGTAATAGTATATATATATTTATTTGACACAGGGTATTATATAATACATCAACAGGAGCCAATGTGTACTGTATATCTTGAAAAAAGTACTCTTCTGTATTTAGGTACTCCCTTTTGTTATATTTTTAGATGATCCAATATATCCAAACATTAAGCTTCAATTAAAAAGTTGGCGGATAAATGTGATGCGAGACTACAATCATATTAATTGTTTCGCATGTTCATTTCAAAACTTATTTCAATTTTGCTGATCATTACAAATATAATTTTTTTAATTAAATTTCGTTTTTTTAAA